CACACACACACACACACACACACACACACACACACACCTGGGGGTCACAGCGGTAGCTCCTATTATGAAGGATAAGGATGGGTTGATAACAACATAGAATCTCGACTCAGGAAACTTACTGAAGTGGGAACAGAAACCAGGACTAATATTCTGATGGCCAGATTTGTTCTTGAGGCAAAGGATTCAATCAACTCAATCAATGGAGTCTCAACCGAAACCAGATCAATCTTGATGGAAATCAGGACACGATCAATTTGGTTTCGGTACCTCCAGCTCCCAGCCTCCAAGTCCTCTTCCACATCCCTTCTCCCAGTCTCTAGCATTCTTATGCCCCTTCCACCCTTCTATGAATCAAAAGAAGACCTTCAGAGAAAGAGCAGGCAAAAATTCTGTCTACTGATAAGACAAAGTATTACTCTTACCAAGAGCATTTGCACTTTGGTTGGAATAGATACCTCAAGCCACAGGAACAAAGTTTAGGGTTCTTACGCCCTTGTGACTTTGTTCCGTGGACCGCCAGTTGTCTCACAAATGTTCTGATCTTTCACTCACTGCCCTTGGAAGGCACTGTGCATGGTTGTTTTAGCAGAAGAGCATTTTGTCAAAGGGACATTTTTATGCATTATTGTCGAAAACCGTTAAGGTTCCAACTATTGAAAACTCACCGGGTAATGTTCCTAACGTACATCCTCATTTCATCCCTGGACCTTATCCCGTCCTCATGCCCCTCCTTTTACCACTGATGACACGTTGTATCAGAGTTGTCCAATCTGAATGGCCTTTGAGTCAAACATTCGGCTTCGTGCCAAGTGGGTTTACTTCTGGCAAACACGAAACTCTCCTGGCTCACTAAATTATGACAACCGACGAGAACTTCTGACTTCCAATTTAGCGCGGCGTGCTATGGACCACACTCTCTACGGGGCGATGCATTTCTTGAGTTTTGGGTACTTGCTGTGTTGACTGATGAAAGGTTTTTACCTTGGGGGTCTACGAATGCATTTCAAGAGTCCATGAATCCCTGAAATCATATCATCCAAATTTGGTGAGTATGTATGTATTTCGTAAAGGAAGGGGTGCGGTCCGTGGTTTTAATCAGATCCTCAAAGCAGTCTGATCACCGGTTTAGATGGGTAATCTAAGCTCAGGTAAAAACAATCTATTTCGTTGGATGTCGCTAGCTTAGTATCTGCCCTCACTAGATACATCGTGTTCTGTTATGTTTATTTCGTCACTGGGCAACCGGTTTATGTAGCACATCAGCTCAAGTGGATTTCCTGACACAAATGATGCACCTTGGAGACAACCTTTGAGGACTAAACAGAGAAGTTTCTGGATTAACTTTGAGCAAAGTGAAGCACCTGTTTGGTGAGAACATCCTGCCTTCCAGAAGGCGACCCTCTATTCTCTCTCCATTTTCAGTGAGGTTCCAAGAACTGGCCCTAAAAGGAAAAATGTGGCTTCTGGTTTCCATGTTGCCGGAGACCTTACATTGGGAAGAAAACCCAGCAAAGAGCCGCCGAGCACAGGGAGTGGGGGTTGCTTCTGCTTATCTGCCTGCCTAGTGTGTTCTATTCTGTGCAGGGGAGGGAGGATTCTTCCTCTACCCTTCAAGGTCTTCCAGCTGGACTAAGAATTCAATTTACACGAGAAAGATCAACAGGAAGAAAGAACAAAGTTTTCTTATGCGCGCGCAGAGACCCAATAATGAAATTGAGACCCAAAGATGTGACCAAGGCAGGCAGTCTTTAATACATTTTAGACAAAGAGACAATACATTTGCGAAGAATTTACAGACTAAGGAAAACGGGTGTTTGGGAGCTTTGATTAAATTCTAAGCAAAATTTGGGCTGAGGTAGCAGATTAGTAAAAAAGTAACAAGGTTTATTTCTGCAGCTTTCTGGCCTTTAAAGTACCTATCTCCGGTGATAAGGATATCTTTGTACTTCTTAGTACAGGGAGGGTATTTCTCACATGGGAGATTTATTTCCTGCTTTCAGGGGGACAGAGGAGGGTCTGAGTGTCCTTGTACCGGCTGTGTCTGAGATAGCTTCGATTCAAAGTAATCAGTGTGCACTTTGGGGCAGCCTGCCCTGGGCCCCTGAATATGGCTGAGACTAAAATCACTCCCCAGCCACACGTTTCAGATTGAGGTAACTCCTCGCTGCCTTAAAGGTCAGGAAAGCCGCTGTGCTGACACAGGCCCTTCTCCCCATGACAATCTGCCCCACATCGACTCTTGAGTCATCACATCTGGATGACTAGGCTGACAAAAACAAGGTTTCTTGGGCTGAGTTGAATTGGTGGCAAGGCAGTATGGTGGAGCAGGAAGCACTGTGCACTTGGATGCTGAGGATCTGGGTTCGAGTCTTACGAACTTGGGCGTGCTGCCTTGATCCCTTTGGGTCTCGGATGAAATTAAATCACGCGAGTCAAACTGCTTCACATGGTGCGAAGGACCTAGGAGGTGCTCAGTGAAAGGGATCGTGCAGGACCCACACTGAAACAGAAGTCCTGGCTGTGGACCAGGATGTCGTCAACCCTGATCTGTACGGCAGTGTCTTCAGAGGCTTATCTATGGAGACCAGGTAGATCCCCAGACCTGTAGATTTGCACCCCTGGTCATTCACTAATTCAACAAATGTTTCTTCACACCTATGCTCTGGGATATTGTCCAAACACATAATGAATGCCTGGCTGCCGGAGGTAGAACTCAAACTGCCTGCGTCTCTCTTAACTGGGAAGTTGGGACAGAGCCAGGACCGGAAAGGAAAGAGGCGGTTTGTCTCCACAGCTCTCTGCCTAGCCACTAGGTGGCAGCACCAACTTAGGGCTGCTGTCCCCACATTTCTGGCAGTAACTTGGGACTTCAGAAACTCCCCTACGCGCACTCCAGCTTGGTATACAGCTCCAGCTTTGGAGGCAACAAAGGCCGGTTTGAACCCCATCTCCACACTTGGCTGTGCGACCTTGAACACACCGTTTAACCTTTTTTTTCTTTTCAAGATTTTGGTTTCTGGGGCGCCTGGGTGACTCAGTCGGTTAAGTGCCCGACTTTGGCTCGGGTCATGATCTCCCAGTTTGGTTCGTGAGTTCGAGCCCCATGTCTGGCTCCGTGCTGACAGCCTGGAGCCTGCTTTGGATGCTGTGTCTCCCTCTCTCTCTCTGCCTCTCCCCTGCTTGTGCTCTGTCTCTCCCTCTCAAACATAGGTAAACATTACAAAAATTAAATACAAAAAACAATTTTAGTTTTAAGTAATCTCCACACCCAGTGCAGGGCTTGAACCCACAACCCTGAGGTTAAGAGGGGCATGCTCCACCCACTGAGCCAGCCAGGTGCCCCCGTTTAACCTACGTTGAGTCTGTTTCTTTATCTGTTAAGTGGGGATAACAATCGTTCCTGAAACAATAGAGTGAACAGAAAATGAGGCAAATGTTTGGTAAATGGCAGCTAATATCACCCTTGCTCCCAAGAGATTAAAGAGGATGGTCCTCTTACTCTTTCGTGCATCACCCTTATTTTGCACCTTTTTTCCTCTTTTAAGGGTGCCCCTGATGCTTCTTTAAAGTGAGCACGCAGAGGGGCGCCTGGGTGGCTCAGTCGGTTAAGTGTCCGACTTCAGCTCAGGTCACGATCTCACGTCCGTGAGTTCGAGCCCTGCGTCGGGCTCTGGGCTGATGGCTCAGAGCCTGGAGCCTGTTTCCGATTCTGTGTCTCCCTCTCTCTCTGCCCCTCCCCCGTTCATGCTCTGTCTCTCTCTGTCTCAAAAATAAACGTTAAAAAAAAATTAAAAAAATAAATAAAGTGAGCACGCAGATAAACACTTCAGGGTGGGGAGGGGGAAGGTAGGGCGAGGGTCCACAGAGTGATTTTTCTAGAACAGACCTGACTTTTCCCCTTCCTTCCCTTCTCCACCTCTTCTCTTCCTGTTCATTTTCTTTCTTCTACCTTGGGATTTTTACGTCAGGGCGGGGGACGGAGGGGATTTTTACTTGTTTAAAGTGAGAAGTCACCGCTGCTCTGTGTGAAGCCCTTGGCCAGGCAGGGACAAGTGGGGGGCAAAGGTTGAGGAGAACAGAGTTACAAATGTAGGAGAGAGTCCGCCCTCGGAGGTACTTACAGTCCCGAAGGTGCTGAACTGATACCCACCTGGCATGCACCCAAATGTAACTAAAATGATCTTTAAGATATTAAAATATTTACGTTCCGGCTGCTCAGTGGCCTCTGCCCTAGTGCCCCTCTGTGCTGCAGTGCGGGCACGCCCTGACCCCGCCTCAGTGCCAGCTCCAGCACCCATTCTGAGTGGCCAGGACCCGGCCTGCCAGTTTGAATACCACCCCTGAGCAGGTTGACTGGGCTCCATACACAAAGGACCAGTGCGGGTGGAGAGTGCCGTCTGGAGGCTAAGCTATGACTCCCTGTGATGGTTTTCAAGTTACAGCCTGGGGAGCTTGCCAGAAGCAGCAATGGGTCACATCCAGGTCAGGCATGCCAGAGGCTGGTGCAATCCTGGCTGAATGTCCAGCTTCTGATGGAGCACAGGGCATCCCAGAACCCTCTTGGAAAACAGTCTACTCCTGCTGTCCCCTGAGATTAGGATCCAGTGCCCCCCACTTCCTGGGAAACCCTGGTATGATTCATCATCCTTGAGCTTTGGGTTTCTTAATAGAGAAGCTTACTCTGGCCGGGATGGCTTAAGCAGGAAGCGAACCTGCTGGGAGAATATTGTGTGGCTCCCAGAATCCAAAGAAACGGCTGGAGAACAAGGCTCAGAATAAGGCAGGAACTAGGACAGTTTTCCACCAGAGGAATTCTCTGGCCAGGGCTTCCTAGTTGGAGGGGAGGGCTCCCACAAGCTTTTGGGTCTTCCGTTTGCTGCGTTCAAGAGTCAAATTCCCAACCTGATAACAGCAAAATGGATTGCGTTTCGTCTAGTAACAATGTGTGATAACACTTCAATTATTTGGGTTTGCATTATTTTTGGTACTGGCTTAAAGATAATGACTTTTTACTTTATAATTTTATTGTAATTGTAATGACTTTTGACCTGTACTAATCCCATCATTAAACTAGAAATGTGAGTAAACAGGGGTGCCTGGGTGGCTCAGGCGGTTAAGCGTCTGACTTGAGCTCAGGTCACGATCTCACCATTCCCGAGTTTGAGCCCCACCATCCGGCTCTATGCTGACAGCTCGGGGCCTGGAGCCTGCTTCAGATTCTGTGTCTCCCTCCCTGTCCCTGCCCCTCCCCTGCTCGTGCTCTGTCTGTCTTTCTCTCTCAAAAATAAATGTTAAAAAATTAATAATAAAAAAAAAAAGAAAT